CTTCTCAAGCGATAATAAAATATATCGGGGTCCTTATGCAGGTCACTTATCAGCTGATAGTGTAAATATGAAAGTTGGAAATATTCTTATTTTATGTCATTTAGTGCTAAACAAAGTATATGTAACTCACTCGATGTTTTGTGTATATTGCACTGGGCGTAGTCACGAACAGATAGTAGTATAGTAGAGTACATAGATCTTTCAGTTATGTAAGTGTAATGCCAAATAAGCTCACTGCTAACCGGATGTGGGGAAACTACCATTTTATTAGAATAGAATAGAAAATCATTTATTCAAATAAACATACGTTGGCAAAGTAAGAGTGGAAGATGATAGGACAAGGTAGAAGTCAGTCAAATCAATCAAGCTAAAGCGAATGTTATGAATAAAAATAGCATATGTAATAGCACATTCTCCCTAATTTAATTATACAAACTCATTTGAAAAGAATAAGACCTGAGTTGTTTGTATATATTACTGAATATGCTAATCCATCCAAAATCCATTTTGAAATTACTATTTTATATACAGATAAATATAAATAAATATTCCTCTTTTTGCCTTTGGCTTTAAAATTATCGCAATCGAACAGAAATTAGTATGTTGATTCAAAAAAGATATGACTCTATTGCCTGCGGCTTTATATTGAACAGAAATTAGTATATTGCATGAAAAATGACCAACCAAACTCTAGAGAGGGCTGATAGCGTAGTCATTATTTATTTAAATTTCGAAGCGTATCGTTCTCAATTCCCACGGGTAGCGCCCGGTACGGGAACGTTTCGCTTAGTAGCTACGTTCCTGGATTTTATAGCAACTATTATGTACGAAACTAGAAATGAATACCACATATTGTGTGGTATTGAGTTTGGTTTAGTGGTTGTGTGTTTAAAATTACTTTTATATATTTATAAAAAAAAAGATTTGACCCCAATAAAATGATTGAAAATAAATGATTGTTAGATTTTTTGTCTGTTATTTCCATGTTTGTGTACCTTAATCTCAGAGATAGCTTAACCAATTTATATCACTTTCCTATGACAATACTTTTATGTCCTATTCAACTCTTCATACTTTCGATAGAATACAAATTATCATTTCTTGAACTAATATTTTGAACAGATCACTTATTTCTGATTCTTTTATAGATTAGTACTGAAACTAAAGTAATTATTTCATTTGAGCAATCCCTATTTTTTTGGTATTAATGGCAAACATTAAGCCTTTTGGTAAGTCATAACCGTCATCTATGCATATATATATGAACAGCAACATGAACATCACATCATCATGTGACATCCTTGGTACCACTCATATTGCAATTTAACTGCCTTATCTCCATGCTTCAATCGAAACAGTTTACAAAGCTAGCTTGCTTAGTAAACTGGTGACCTATACTGATGACTATTTTTCTCGTCTTGAATGGTCTGGTATAGGAAATAAACTATGAAAGTGAACAAAACAATTTATATTTAGAAAATCTCTTTCAATAGACACAATAGTTAGTTATGAAGAGCTAACTATAATGTACATGAATTTATAAATTACGTAATATAAGGGGGCACGCAACCGTGCTTCGCGCTGCCTCTCCACCCACGCCCACTTTAAGGATAATTCCGCATGTCATTGCCCTAAATCCCTACAGGCATCGTTATTGTTTCGTGCTTGTACAATATTCGTTCACGGTTTCTGTTTGTTTTAATCAACGGCTCTAATAATACACTCAACGGGTTTGTTCACGAATATATATTGATATTCTGTATAGATGATCTCATTAGTGCTGGAGATTTCTGTGATTTCGCCAAACATCTGAACATCCCGCCCGCACTTGTGAAGGATGAAAGGATGATTATGACTTAGCTTAAATGAGCCCGTGGTAAATTCAACGCTAAGCTGCTTTGTATATATATAACTGTATTTCTGTATGAAGAAAATAAAAGAGATTCCATAGTACGGGCATGGGACTTTAGTCCTTAGGAATGGTAATACTTGAGGGTCTAGATGGGACTAGGTGATGTCGACGGTACCATGTTGTATAGGCGACGGTTACAATTTAAAATCAGGTAGTTCGTTTTTTTTTATTTCATTATTCTTGTATGTGTGAGACTCAATATTTTTTTTTTATTCTACTTTATTTTATTGTACTGGTGTTAATAATACCCATTATCGATAATTCCATAATCCCAACGATCTTTATATTGTCCTTTTATTTATAATTTTATTCTATTACAAACACACAAACAAACAAACCAAGACAATTTATTGTGATTATGTTGTGTATACACGTTTATTGCTAATGCTTTCCCATTTTATATATAAAAGGCGGTTATATTTAATAAGAAAAACTAGGTCATGTTTTACACTGTTATACTTACTGTAAGTACATAATTTATGAAGTCACTAATTTATTCTGCTGAAATCTGTCCTTAAATACTCTCCATTTCCAAGTTTCATTTGTAAAGGTATGTCATTTTAGGCGGGACCGCAAACAAATCCTCTTCTTTTTAAAATTAGGTCCATACCCAACACAAATGACTTTGGGGCTTTTAAATTAAAATGTCGATTAGTGAACACGCTTGTAGAATAAATTGCCTCAAATATAACGAGAGACGGATAGGTAATTTGTATTAAAAGATATAAAGATACAAAGACTTAGATAGAATTAGTGCTATAAATTTTATAATAATTGTATTAATTTTTAACATCCTCGGTAGTAGTGGTACACCACACCTCCGATGGTCGCTGGTTCGATGCCTCGCACGGTACAATAATTTATATTTATGAGTATGAGTTTTTTATATGTATATTTATTAAACACCTTTTGATTTACTTTAATACAATCATACTCTATTCATATTCTTTTAGATTACTTTTTGAAATCTATCTTCGTGATACAATCAATCTGTCTCTACGTTTTTTATTAAGATGCGTTCACTCATTTAGTTGTGATAAGGTAACAGACGGACAGACATCTTTTCGCATTTATTATGTTAGTAGGGGTTGGTAAAATATGCCTACTTATTAGTTTAAAGTGTAATATCAGATGTCAACTACTTATAGAATTCGTTAACTGTTATTAGTAAGTTGTTCTGAAGTCACGTCTGAGGTGAACTCTTATCAATTCCACCTTTTAAAATCAAAACTACCACCAACATTAATGTTACGACTGTAACTTCTTCTTTTTTTTATTAATTATTATAATATTTTAAATAGCCCCGCATATTTAAATATTCTCACAATAGCATATCTGTGGGCCTTCAGTAATACGAGTATAATGAACAATGGATTGCTATGCGGGCCCACAGTTGCACTTGACACGGTTTTTTATAATATTTTATTATTATGATACTCGATTGTTTCTACATTGGTACAATTAAACTATTCAAATATTATTATGGCGTAATTATAGTATTTGACAGATCCTAATAATATTGCAAGTTATCAATATCCTAAATAATCCATTGTTTACGTTCGTAATGAAACTAGTTGTAACCCTTGTTGTTGTCCGATCTTTTCATATTGTAATACGTCAAATTTTATTCGAAACCAGCCAGTACATACGTAATTGAGTAACAAACGTACTGTCATTTTACATTAATAATATTAGTGTCGTCAAATATATTGCAATGTGAGTATGTATTATGAATCCTAGGAAAATTATGTATTAATTAGCGTAAGTAGTATACTAAATAATTCATTATCATTAATAATATGGGTACAAATTAATACTAGTTTAGACATAGAATTTGATTATATTGAATTTAAATATCAGACTCAAGTTAAAAATACTTTATTGTTTTAAAATAATTCAGTTGAATAAGTTATGGTCCTTAATTACATAAATTATTGTTCACTTATACAATTATTTAAAATAAGTAATATATATATATAATAAATTTGTAATGAATACAGTAATCAAACTTTTTATTATTATTATGAATTTATTTGTAAGGGTATTTATCAAATATAACTAAGATATGATATATTCTATAATATTTTAAGTATTTGTCTACTTAAAGTATAGCTTATACTTACTGACTAGGTACATTAAAGTTATAAATAATCTACAATATATAGGAATGGAACATTCGATATGAGAAAACTATAAATGTAATTAATGTATATTTAATTAAAAATATATAAAATTTCATATTGTAATATCATACCATTATTTATTTGAATTACAATTACACAAACAAGTATTATGAACTAAACAATAAAATTGCATTGATGCATTTATACGAGTTTGTTATTTGGTAGGAAAATTTATGTAAGTCGCAGTTTTTTTATATATTGGATTTTTATATATTTTTGACAATTATAAAAATCAGCTGCTATGGATAAACTGCCTTACCTATTACCTATATTAACCTTATCGTCATCAAGTTATTGTAAGTAAAGGTATCTGCTAACGACAATATTTAGTATAGATAGATAATAGTTAACTTTACGTTCTGTAATGTCCGATATAAATGAAGCGGACATGTTAAATTGTCTCTTGACTGGTTAATTCGGAACTCTAGTACTCGTATACCAAATCCTGTCGTCTGCAGTCTCTAAATGACCACATACAATTCCGAGACAATTTCGGTTAAATAAATCTATCACAACACACATATCACATATTATCATAATATCAGCTATAATTAAATTACATTCAATAAGCATTTTCTGACTGACAATTCATTTTTGTTTAACAAAATGTTGCAATTTAATGCAATACAGATATTGATTAGTGATAAAAGGATTCCTAAGAAGGTTCTCGTATAGAAGTTAAACTGCCGAAATGTGATTATCACATATCGTGAATTGAGAACTACCTGAGAATGTATAACATTCATATTAATGTTTTTTTTTTAAATGTGTCTACAGGCATTGCATTTCAGATTTTAATAGTATTAATAATAAAGACATTTTTTGAACTGTTATTATTATTTGTAAAATAGCAATAGTTAAACTAGCTAAAGTAGGTAAATATTTTATAAAACATTTGATTTTAGATAAATAATTCGTATCGGATATTTCTCATTCCGTACGTTTTGCAGTATCAATGACTATATTACATATATTACGTCGTTGATGTTATACGAGTAACTATAATTAATATTGTTGAGTAATTCATAATTTGCACAATTGACGTAACACTCAACACGCCATCATCACTCAAGCCAAATTCTGATTAGATCATCACATTTATACCTCACTTATAGAAAACTATATCTACCTATGTACAAAATGCATTGAATTGAGCAACTATTCTTATCATAAGTACCTAAGTATTTTAGCTCTTTGACGTAAAAATGTTAAGGAATTTGGTTTTAATATTCAACAGTGTTGTAAAAGAACGCTTTACTTTTTTCTTTGGTATCCTCTCGGGTCCCAGGAACGGCTCCGAAAATGATTTCTGTAAAGGTGTATGAACTGGCGCCTCTGGTTCTTTGGGTAACTGATACTTATATTCCTTGACCACTTTTTCTTCTCTAGGATCATACCTGTAGAGTACAGAATAAGTGCGTTTTACTTTCTTCGGAACCCTAGGAGCATTGGCAGTCCTTTCACTTTTGCATCGCTTGACTTTGTTCCTGCCGTAGTAATCCTGGTAGGTATCAGCGTCGACATATATAATACGCTTTCCCAATGCCTGCTCCCTTTCTTTCTTCAAACTCTTCCACGATGCGATGACAGATTCGCGACGGAATGTCTTATTAGGATTATGGCGGCTGATGCAGTAAGGCTGCTCATCTTGAATGTTGGATGTGTCTTTCAACGGAGACCCTCTTGGACTCGGACTGTAGTCAATCTCGTAGTCGTCTCTCGACACCTGAAACGAGATGAAATATACCGTCAAATAAAAGCAGTAAACGTGTGTAAACAAAATCATTTTCGATGTTCCGTAGTGTCTCATAAACTATTAGAGATCTTGGGATTATTTAAAGTAGCAATAACATAAATATCGTACGTGACTCTATAGACGTAATTCTAGGGCCGGCTAGGCTGTCTCATTCTAATATCAGCTGTTTGGTGTTCTGTCCCTGTCTAGTTCGACATTGGAGCCCTTTAAACGGTGCCCACATGTCTACCACCACCTGTCGTTCCCGCCATATGCTTTGATCGCTCTGGAAAGCATTGGCAAATGTTTGTAAAATGTGTTTTCTTCAACTATGAGATGTCAGGAAGTCGGTTTGAAGAACAATCGTTAAAATTGATTTAGGTATCAATCAAGGCCCCGTTGTAAAAAAAACGCATAGTTTGTAATGTGATTTACGTTTTAAACGAGGTATGATTGTGTTTGTTTGAAGCAAGGGAAGGTCTTTGATCAATCAATGATTACAGATATATCTCATTAAATTTAATTGCATTCTTCTGTCATAATAATCAATAAAGAACATGTTCTTACAATCGATGTTATAGTAAATAATTATGTGGGCCATAATGATTTATCATTAGACTTGTTACAATTAAAAAGTTAACAAATATAGAAATTGAAATATTTGATAACGTCTGCTGCTAAAATATTTATGTTTGCAGTTATATTATACTACAAAAGCTTTTTAATTTTATGACTTCGTTGTAAACTCGTTGCACAACCTTAGAGTGGTCATTTTGTTACGTTGTGTTTAGTTTTAAGTCTTTTGATATTGTGCAATATTTTATGGGGCTTTTCTTGAAATTCCACAACGTAGTCGGCCACTGGTCAGATAATAGGTCAAACAGAAATAGACTGTTTATTATTGGATTTCATTAGAATTTGATGTATTTTAAACGATAGTAAATTATATAACTTTTCTTTAATTTCATCATAAAATGAATTGTTTATTTAAAATTTTTATAACTCTTTCTTTGTCTATTTAAATCTAAAGAAAATGGTAACGTAAAACTATGTCTGATCAATTTAGTAATGATTCTTTCATTGTAATGTAACCACTGAAGACATTACATTTGTTGTGTTGTATTTTGATTGTCTAAAGTGTTTATCTATTAATTCCTGAACAAAGTGTTACACCTTGAAGAAACTGGACGCTCTGCAGTCACTGTAGACACGACAAATCTGCTTCGCTCTGGGCTTTGACAGCTAGTGTTGTGTAACATTATTTTTAATGTGTTACCGTAAAAAAAATAACAGTGCACTGCGAATTCGGGTCGCCTCGTTAAATGGGTCACATTGAAATAGTTGTTCTATTAGCAGAGTTAGTTAACACGGTCTAATTAAGATGGCAAATTAACTCCCCCATATCGAGGTGGCGTTAGTTTTTATTTTTAATGTTTTGCAACACCTAACCTTGTATTTTTATTTTCAGGTAATCATTGTGACTGTCTCATCTAGTAACTAATTTGGGTGAGTTTGACGGCGTGTTCATTATTTACAAGTGCTCCTACTCGAATTTATATTATTAAAAAATCTCTGGTCGCTATATATAAAGGTTTAAGAATAATGACACACTGAAAACAATATAAAACAGGTTTTAGAAATAATGTATAGAAAATATATTAAAAATATATAAAAGGTTGCACGCGCGTACCTTATTCTTGTGTTGTTTCTACATCGTGTCCTATTTCATTGGCCTGTGTTGTAATATTGCGTTAAAATGTGTATAGTATTTCTGAACTGACGTGCATAGTTTGGTTTATTTGTGGATCCGTTATTATAGTACTGAAGGTGATAACGACAGTTAAATTTGTCCCGAGTTATTTTGGACAATACTTGAGGGTTTTCAATGCAATTCTATTATTATCTAGCGTGTTGCATATGTTTACGTATTCCAAACATATTGAAACGGCACATTAGTAAAGATTTAAGTAGATTTACATGATGAGATGTATTCTTTAAAGATTTTGTATTTGGTTTCATACCACATAGATCTTATAGTTGAATACTCTATTTCACATTTTTTACACATTTTAAATGACGAAGAAGCTCATAGCCCATTTTAATGGGAAATGGTGAAAGTCACCTATATACATGAACAGCACTACTGACATCATGTGACCGTGCGCGTGACGCCTTCAGTCGTTGCCATTCAGAAGTACTAAGTTAACACCCTGTAATTTCACTATCTTCTCCTCATTCTTAAACAATACATTTTAAAAACAAGCAGCTTGATGAATAAAATAGTTGAAACAGTACCCAACTAGATGACTGATAGAAGTCTACCTCGGTAAAAATCTAATCAAGTCTTAATTATTTCTGTGCCAGTTTGTTATCTGCAATTAGCAGAGCTAATCGGCCACTGCGTTATAAGAAGCTACTAATGATATTGGGTCACATCGCTCATGCTTATTATCTATGTAAACACTGTCACAATTATAATTTATTGGTCACTATTTATTACCCGAGATTTTATTTAAGTGATTACCATATTTTGATTGAATGAAGTATCATCCAAACAAGAGAACATACAAACATCTTTAACAGGTAAGATGTATTGTATGCACCTATAATCTTATATAATACACTTAATAAACAGTAAAGGACAATCGATAATATTAATTTTGGCATTTAGGTTTTACCTACAGTAAACAGAATTACGTAGGTATTTAAGTGCTTTTCGAGATCATCGATATATTTATAAACTGATTGAATATGAACAAAGGACGTCATCAATGACGTGCATGCTGCTGAACTTTCAAGTACTGTACTAATAGAAACACATTAACGCTAATTGTTATAATTTTATTCAAAATGATAGCAATCAAGGTAATTTACACATGTATAATTATAAAGTCGTTTTCCTGACCGACTATGAACATAGTTAAAAGTACTAAAGCTGGAAAACTATAATTTGAACTTAGGTTTATTTTATATCGTAAGTATTTAAGGAAAAAAAATGTATATGTTGATAGGAACGGGTAATAAATAGTGGTAATATATCTAATCCATACTATACGATGAAAGACTGACTGTCTATTTTTATCATTCCGAGAACAAAGAACATAGATTATCTTTTATGTGAAATAAATCATTTTTAAAATTAAACGGATGGATATAGTTTAACTTGTTTCTAAAAAAAGCAGACGAAATCGCGTGTAACGACTAGTGATTTATACAATTGTATTGCTATTTCTAGATTCAATTTATATTCGTGTGTGTACTTTATAGATAGTCTATTGTTGATATTGAATAGTATAAATATAGAGTGAATGTGAACTGTATACTCGTACGTGTAACCTGGCACGTGTACCTCTCAACCGACTTCACTAAATAGGAATAAAATTACAATCTTCATATTATTGTTTGCGTGGTATGTCTTCGGCAAATGAAATTCATGGTAGGGACACAGATAACAAAATATAATGTGCATAAGTGTCCGAAAATGTCCAATAGGATTTAATAATTTAGACTGCGAAGATTTATTTATTATTTTTATAATACAAAAGATTTATTAATTATGTTCAGACTCCAGAGTCAGGGCTTTTTTTATATCTGAATTGTTAGGAAAATTGGCTGTATTTTACATTCTTCAGTTCAATACACATAGCAAGTGAGGTAAACTGCTGTATTTTTACGGCCAAGAGTCTAAGAGTCCAATACTTAAAAAAATTATAATGTTCTTCTAGCACTAACTGTATTATCATTGTAAGCTACAGCTTGCATAATTGTGGCCTTATTTGTGAAAGGTGCTAAAACTACTGAACGCAAACTAAACTTCAAGCAAGGAGTTTTAGTACTAATGTGTCCAAATATACATTTGTAACCTGTCATAATAATTTATTGCCCACTTACTTCAGGATATGATTGAGTTATTAACCGTTCTCCAAATTTTCAAAGACAATCAAAAATAGTTATTACGTACTAAGAATGATACATTGAAATCTTCCTGACTAACCGTTTACGTGCCCACGCGCATTTTTCCCTAACATCTTCATTTTTACTATGAGTAATCAATTTTTTTATATATTAACATTGCGCCACTATTATGACGTAGCACATTGATGATACTTCACTAAAGACAGTTCAATAACTTATATAAATGCGGTCATGACCAGTTTCAGCTCACGTCATTATAAGTCATCCCACTGTTGGACACGGATCTTTTAGAGATCAGACCATCATTTATCCATTCTATACTCAATCATCCATCCATAATGTAGGATAATTTAGATTATAATTACTACCAGGTATTATACTGGTTTTCTTCTAGAAATGTTGTGATCATTTGATGTTAATATGATAGTATTTTTTAAATTGAATGCTGTTTAAAATGCCATGTATTTGATGCCCTAGAAAAATTCGGTATTAATTTAAAAAATAATAAAATGTTAGTTCCAGATGTTGACAAATTAATGTTCAGTTTCGTATGTTACTAGTGTTTTAACGTTTATAACGATGACACAGGCGACCACGTTAATCCATCACATTCCACGATTCGTTTCATTTTTTAAAACGTGATTTGTATTTATCTGATCTATGTGCTCTCGGTCGCAGCTTTCGAAATCATAAACCGGAATAACTACCGACCAATGACAGCTATTAGTTGCAACATGAAAACGCCTAAGTACCAACATGTCAAGTTTAGGTATATTAGAGTCGGTGAAAGTGCACGAAATTCGCCACGACCAGTTCGCGAATTCAAATGCCGAATGCGAAACCCGAATCTACAATCGACACATCTGTCAGATGTTATGACAAAGCATTGTGTTACAAATGACAAACACTTTCTAATTTTATTTTTATTGTCCTCCTTAATGACCGGTTAAATATATTTTGCAAGGTTTAAAATGATAGTTCCATTTAAAAATCAAACCCGCATAGACAAATAGAACATTTTATAATAAAGTGGTTGGCTTAGTTTTCACGATTGCGGGAAATGGTCATTAGGGATAAAAAGAACTTGTTAATGTTCTACATCCACTAATCATTAGTGGTAATGTCCATGCAATATAAATCTAACATAACTACACCTATATAAAAAATAAATATGGTGTACGATAACGTACTAGTAGTATTCTTTAAGTAAGTTATTGTGTTGTTAACTACATAATTTGTATTTTTTATAATTTTGTCGCTATTTCGGTTTTGATAAACTGGTTTAAATTTTATAACACAATTAAAATTAAAATTAAGTGGATATTAAGCATCTCAATTTAATAGTCTTAGTTACCTAATATTAAAAGCTGTCAAGGCTGCAACCGATCTAGATTGGTATAACCTTTAAGCTGTATTAAATTAGAAACCTCAGATATCAATCTTTATGATTAGTATCGAACGTTTTAATCAAACGCGGGATATCGATTGATGTAGATTAAATTTAAATTTCGAATTCGAATAGAAAACAGCCAGTAACCGAGCGCACCAAGAGCGGCAATGTCAAGAGCTTTACCACAAAAAGACGTAATTCCATATTCAAACACGAGGCACGCACGCGCTGCAGTTCAATGACAGCGAGCATAGACAAGCCAGTTGCCTTTTAAGCACATTAAACTGGCCATGCACTTTGCGTAATAGTCGCCAGCCGGTCCACAGACCGTATTCCGGAATCAGATACGTGAAATTGAGTTGTTTATGGTAGTGCTTTTCACACGATTGTAATAAATGCTTTATGAATTATTGTTTTTATTATTCTATATTTTATACTATTCTTTATGTTAAGTAATAATATGTAATATAAATCATATTATGTTTCGATATTAAATAAAATCTATAGGTACTCCTATTGTAATAATCTAAGGCTATACGTACATTTCATAATAAAGTGCTTAATGTAAGTTACTTACCACGCTTTCCCAACTACCGCCAAGGATAGACTTGTCCAACATATTGAGGCACTAAAAAATCCCTTCTCAAATGAACACAACACAGTTGATAGTTTTTATTTTAGCACGCGTCAAAGTTTACGAAATAGTATTAGGTAATGTTGTTAGACGCGGGAGTAATCACGTTGTCACTCGGGAGTAGTATGTGTTTGGCACACGTTCCCTGCGCTCTTCCCTGAACGACTGAAGCTGAATTTGTTTCAGACTTGTATTTATAGTGCACATTTAGGCTGCGCGAAAGAGGGCGGGTTACAGGAAGACGCTTCCTCAGTGGTTTCCACTTAACGCGATGTCAGAGGCAGGTACTTCGAGGAACACCGTCTAAAAGTGCCTCTGGGTGGTACATGCTTAATTTCTTTTTTCTTACAATTGTGAGTATAAGTAGGAATTTGGGGGCATTTATATTTCAATTTCCTATGCTATTTTTCTGTATTATGATAAAATTTCTATTTACATATTAATAGGACAAATGTCTCATTTAACTAAGAAATGCCAATTGTTTTTAATTTTACAGTACTTAGTTAATTAAACTGAATTGAAGTACCTACATACTGAACTGACAATGGAATTTAGGACTTTTTCAATTTGAAAGTTTTCATACGAACTTGCCACTAAAATTGATTGTGTATCCATTATTATTTATTCGAATTACTAATTCGTCAATTTGTACTTTATGGTATAATAAAATCCTTGGAAATAATAATAACTGTGTAATATCACAGAGTAATGGACCAATGCAATGCCGAGATATGTTGTGAAGTTAAATCAATATTATATTTTAACTTCGTAAAACATATCAACATAAATGTAATGTAATAATACAAATATATTAATAAATGTTAAATAATATTATATATTTATTATTATCTAATAAATATAAATTGAAATATAATTAGAAAGTTAGAATGAACTTAGACGAATGAATCACACAGTGCTGTGTAATATTTTTTTATATATATAACGTGATACATACACCTTCCATCATAGTCGTAAGTTTACAATGTTGTCAGAATTTATACACATGTAACAGAAACGTTTACTAATTTTGTTTCACTTTACAACCTCTATACGTTAAGTGCAGACGCACCAACTTAATTCCAGGATGCACTCGAACCGCATTGACGTCATTGATCAATCGGAATTGAGAAAGCCTTTGATTGCACAGTAAAATCTGCAAATAGTAGGTATTTTACCTAGTGATCCACACTGATAAATACGAACAGAGATCCACTGAGAACTCAGTATTGGATTGTTAATTGTCATACTTTTTAAATATAATCATTGTATTAGATACCTAAATATGATGAAACCTATTTTTTTTTTAGATAGATCCAACTTATTGCCTATATTCATAATTGACTTGCTTTAATCCAATTACAATTTCACTGATGCCTATCGGCTGTCATATTAAGTACTTCCATTACGACATGATACTTAGTCATTGTATTTTTTAATACTGTATTGTAACTAAATAAATAAATAATTATTAATATACTATTATATAATAATACAATAACTTATCATATTACGTTAACCAATCGACTCGGCTTCTTATATGTGTGCTTATATAAAAATATTGTCAATTTTTAAAGTAACTCACTAATACTATAGTATTTTTTTATTGTCCGTATATGTATGACATTTTATATATTTCTATTTAATTTGAAATATTATTTTATAATATTTTATTTATTTAGAATTAATTATTACCAACATACATATATATAAATTTGAACACATAAATGAAATGATATCACACAAATGAATTTTTATTTGTATTTCACAATTTCATTTTCTTTAATCATCACTCGATTTTGTTGATCAATAATTCTGACTCGAGGGAATTTTGCGTTTCCTACAAATGTATTTTGAGGATTTAACGCAACAAGATGGGGCTTTGACCTCGTCGTTTTTCCTTAGGGAGATGGCTGGACTAGTCTGTTGCATAGATTACTTGTTAATTGAATTAATTGCAACTGCTAATGACTTGTTTATTCTAACGCTGTACCTATTTTTGTCTGCTATGACTGTCGGCTGAGTATAATTAAACGCATATGCTATTGTGGTCAGTGAAAACCTAAAATAAAATTATTGTATAACCCTTTATGTTATTAAAACACTATTCTTAAATCTTAAAGTTTAATTTGTCTGCCTATCATATAAATGGGCCATATTTCACTTGGCTTGGTTGTATTTATTGTAATTCGTGTATTTTTTTTTAATTCAGTCCACGTTACGTTACAGTATACGTCAATAGTTGAAATGACTTTATGAACATATTAATATTTTTAAGTTTATGAATTACCAACAAAATATTTATACTTATTTCATTATAATATTGTAATATACATTTTCAAAATAGTAATGGAAATATTGTCAACTAACATAATTATTTCTGGTATATAATTTTCATACTTCAATAACATTTTTGTCTCTGTACTTATAAAATGTGTCGCTTAAGGAAGTCTACGAAAAAATATTGAGTATGTATTGTTTTTCGTGTTAGGAGTATGTATTATATAAATATCGTTTTTGAGAGATTTTTCCTATAAACATTTTTTTCTATGAAATGTATTATGTATGTAGTATCTTATCTTTGCGTCAGACTTCTTATTGGTAGACAGAGTTAAGGAATCGGCAACGATCTCTATCTTTGACTGAATCACTTGAAGTAAGGTAATTAAATCGTTAATTCTAGTTTTTTAATTGTATCTACATTTTAATATTTTTAATTTCTTCATGTCGTCTAATATGAAGAAATTAAATGAAGTCGGACAGAAGACTCAATGAATATATTAAGGGCTGCTCTACTATTAGCATACTAGATGCAATATTTAATTGTAATCGAATCATAAGATAAAAAAAATCTCCATGTTAATAAATTTAGCACTAGGTCATTTTCCTCCACCATATGCATGTAAATTGTAAACATAGTACAGAAATATATGTATATTTTTAACATACGCTAACTATGCCGCCAGCAATAGTATCTCTCAATATAAATAAATTTAAGTAAACTTCCGATCTGAAATAACAAAATCACGATGGGCGGAGTTTTTTCTGAGTTTTAAAGCAAGTTTTACCTTATAGTTTTCATACAACTGAAATGCGTTGCGTTGTTCTTTTACTAGAATCCATTAGATCTTACTTTTGTAACGGAATCTGGGAATGTATTCACGTGACGTATAGAAGAAAATGCTTTTATGACATCAATTTATAACAATTTTGGTATTTTTTTTTTATTTAGCGGTATTTTTATTGTGTATATACGATCAAATGTGTATATAATATCACGGGATGTAATAACACGCAATACTACCATTGAGTGTTACTTGCCTTATATTATATACTGATATGAATGAAAAATCGTGGGGATATAATGACAACACAGTGTCTTGCCTGCCGATAGTCGCGGGTCTGATGCCATTTTACTACAAACATGTATGACAATTTATAGGATGTTTTTCTAATATACAGAAGTACGTATTTTTAAAATATATGTATATCCATAAGTTTTTTTACCTGTAGTACAATGTTTTCTAATTTTGGGACTGAATGGCGTCTTATAATACTTATGATTTTTATTATCATTTTTTGATGTGCCGAATCAATCGTAAAACAAATACAATGGATGATAAGATATTACCTAGATTTGATAAACCATGTCAGCCATTAACTATGTGTTACAGATTGTATAAGTGCGTTTTATTATTATTCTTAATCCCGCACAATCTATTTGACAACAATTAATTTAATGTGCGCCACAATTAATCAGAGAGCGTTTATTGTTTGCAATTTGGAATTGGTCCAACATGGGGTTTATATATCATGCAATTTCTTTATTCCCATCGTTTTACTTTGTCCAACAATGACATTGTATAATGGTCGTTTCACTTGCACCGATATTTAGCAAAATGTACAAAAGGAAACCCTGGTGAAGTGAGTTTGTATTGTTGCCAGTTTCCACAACGATTTATGCTTCATGAATGCCTTATTTGAGTTAAATAAATTAATTTATTTGTTTGCACTGTTTAAAGCATCTAAAGAATATTAACCTCTGATTAATGTTCAGGAAAGTCTTTATTTGCAATATTTGAATGTCTGTCTTAAATATATGAGTTCGGTGTAAATAAAATAGGTTCATGAACAAAAAATAATCCTATAGTCATTACTTATTTTTTTTAACTAACTTGATAGAAGTATAGCGTATGTTTTTGGACCGTGTACACATCTTGTAATTCATATATTTATTAAAACTGCTGCTCACATAAGTGTAAATCTTATCAATCAGAATAAAAATATAAAAATCAATTTAATATTGATACAAATATCGCAAATCGTAAGAAGTAAGTCTCAAAGCTAGGCCATTTACAAGGCAGATGATTATAACGCATGCATGAGAAAAACCCATGGAGAAATATATACCATGTAAGTCTTCTAATGTCTATGGCGAATAAACGTATTTATACTTGACTTCTTGTTTTGATCGGAAAACTCTTCGTGCAAATAAAAACCTGTGCCTGTGTTCTGCAGTATTCTTTTCATCAATCCGCAAAACATTTTTCCATATAAATTGTATGTTGGAACGTCCAGTTCAAATTAAATCAGAGATAATTAGACAGTTCTCGTAATTTAAGACCAAAAATTTACGCGCAAAGCAAAAGAGAGACGGGGAATCTTTCTGTTTTATTCTTTCTCATGTGTTTTTGCACGTTTCATAGAGAAGGCGTAGCTATTCGTATGATTTTTTGTTTTTCGTAATCTTTGTAGATAATTTATTTTTTATTCAATAGATAATGAATAGTGACTATAGCGACATGTTGCTGCAGTGCACCAGTAAAGGATGATAGAAGAGGTAATTAGGGGTGAAATGAAAATGACTCCACGATAATTTCTAGGGGTGACCGCCCAGAGACATCAATCTGACATGGCATATTGTCCCCCTCTTCCTCCGACCCCGTCCTTCGCGCGCTATCGTTACGTTGGACGTAACATTTGTACAGTCCCGCACAGATTACAGCATTGCTGACGTGTGGACTATAAATAATGTATTGACCTACTTGACGGGCTGACCCTTCTGGTGTACGCATGCACAAAGTTGGATGTCTGGGTGTGTTCAGTGGTTAGAATAAGCTTACATACATGTACTATGTACATTCACGGGCATAA